AAAATTCCAATATGGCTGCAAAAGTATGATTTAATGCTATAGGATAATTCCAATATGGCTGAAAATGTATGGCTTAATGCTATTAATGCTATAGGAAAATTCCAATATGGCCACCAAAGTAGGGTTTAATGCTATAGGAAAATTTCAATATGGCTGAAAAAGTATGGTTTAATGCTATAGGAAAATTCCAATATGGCCGCCAAAGTAGGGTTTAATTCCATAGGAAAATTCCAATATGGCCACCAAAGTAGGGTTTAATGCTATAGGAGAATTCCAATATGGCTGCAAAAGTAGGGTTTAATGCTATAGAAAAATTCCAAAATGGCTGCAAAAGTAGGGTTTAATGCTATAGGAAAATTCCAATATGGCTGCAAAAAAAGGGTTTAATGCTATAGGAAATAACACTGTCATTGTTTCTGAGAAAACAGTACCATTGATTTTTATTTGATGGAATTTGTAAGTGTTTTTTAATTAAAATGTACACATTTTTTTATAATAGGAGACCATGTCCATCCTTAATAGTACCTATTTTCTTGGCTCCCCCGCTAATGATAACGTAATTTTACCTATGGTGGTTAACCCTTTGAACAACACATTTGTTCATGTTAAATTTTTCACGTTTTTAGGTATTTAACTACTAGTATAATTTTGTTGTTAATTTGGACTGACTGGACTTATTTTCATACTGCCTACAGGTCTCGGTCAAAATACATTAAAAATTGGAATTTATTTTGTGACAAAACTTTGGCTCTCAAAGGGTTGATGATATCAAATTACCAGGTTAATTAATATGTACAGATGTCACACTGAATTTTGTACATGGTAACAAAGGTTGACTTCAGCACTCAAAGGATTAATGATATGCAAATTACCTAATTAATATGCCCAGATGTCACACTGAACTATTTTGTACAAGGTGACAAAGGTTGACTTCAGCACTCAAAGGATTAATGATATGCAAATTACCTAATTAATATGCCTATTTTGTGAATGCTGACAAAGGATCTGCTCATAGGGTTAAATACTACACTTGGCTAGCCACTTTGCAAACAGGTGAGAGTATTATAGGAAATTTATTTAGCAAACTGAAATATACTTAGTAATGCATACTTCATATCATGGAAGGTACTTACGGAAGGAGCTACAACGCTATTGATTTAGCTTTACTATATGATCGTTTGTCAATATTTGTTCACAAACAAATTTTTGTTAGCTTTTGGCACCTTTTTAACAATGGTTATGCTAATCTTGAGCATTCGGTAATATTCGGAGCATGTTCTGTAGCAATAGATGAACTGCGCATACACAAGATTGAAACTGACGTCTAGTTGGAACGCTGTTGTTTCCGGAGATCTTAGCGAATTTTAATGAAAAATTGGCAGATAAAAAATTGACTGAAGAAGAACTGATGAACTATCATGAATCTTCTTGTATTTGTAATGACGATGAGACGTAATCAATAATTGCCTGTGACAATAACGATTGCATTATTCAATGTTACCATCGTCAGTGCATGGCGTGGGCAGCAGCAAGTTGGCAAACTATTTCACAAAATGCCTGGCAGATTGTGTTTTGACTATAGTAAACAGTTGGCTTAACTTAGTCTTGATCATGGTGGCAGCTGATTGCAGCATGAGATTCACTTTATTAAGGTCGGTTTAAACAGATTTGAACAAAATAATTCTCATCAACATCAAATTGATTGACTGTAGTTATGTTCGCGAACACTCATTAGCATGGACTAGCCTGTGCCGAGTCAATATGAGCAAGCGCTTAGCACGGGCTAAGAAGCACGTACGAGCTAAATCTGACTCAGATTAGACCAATAATTCGGGTTACCGAATCATGCATGAATTCTAAAGTCAGGATAAGTGCCTAAACACCATTGTATTCAATGTCCATTTGGAAGATTTACTATTTATATTCGTAACTATTCATTTCAGTATGACATTTCGGACATGACAATCAACATGAGCACATCCAGAGGCATTATTCTCACGAAAAAAATTGTTCCTCTAATTCTGCAGCAGCACTTTCTGAATTTGCATTGTTATTGTTTTTTAACTATAGCATTAACACATATAGTACTTTCCTGGTTACTGTACTAAGTAATCATAGTTAAAATGACTGAAGATTTGCATATTTTTAACAGGTTTGGATGATTCATCAGTCCACGCTACATTTTGTAACTGTTGTTCTCTCCTGTGTATGAATGCAATAGAGTCTAATCAATATGTTGAATTTCTTAAAACCGTGAAAATGGTAAAATAATTCAGCAGTCAAGAAATTGCATATTTACAAATTCTCTCAAATTATATAATAGCTCTAGTGGCAAAAAGGTAATCTCTAAGCAGTGCAGACATGAGCAACAATTCCTTTAAAGAAAGAATCTTAGCCAGTGGCTTTAAGCTCTCATTCATTGAAGAATTGGTGGTATTCAATCCCAGATTATGGGAACAGTGTAGGAACCACTACTCTACACTCACACATGTCTGGAGTAGATCGTAATTAAAAACACTTTACGCCAAAAATGGACTAACCGCGACTTTACATGCATGTCTTAAATCTAAGCACACATTTTCACAATCTCAGTTCATACCAAGACACTGTGTTCAATTCAACTAACAGTATTGTTATAACAACAATTGGTCAATTTTTACACCCACTTGTACAATCATGCTATTCACATATGTGTGACACATGAATTGAAAGATAACGTCAGACTTTTTTTATTCCATGTTTCTTGAGTTTTTATAAGGCAATTTTTTTTGAGGAGGGCGAAAAAAAAATAATAAAATAATTTTTTGTTTCCATTAGATTTGTGTGATTCTCAAAGAATTGTAAGTGAGATCATTGATCGGAGAGAAGAAATGAAATCAAATTTTATTCCATGTATAACCTTGTTTCTCATCTCATCTTCGGTACTTTGAACATGATACTCCCACGAAAATGCAACTTGGATTTGTTATGCGGCGGGCAGTAAAAAAAATGAAGATAAAAATAATATACATTTCCCCAACCTCCTTTCCAGAATAACATGGTGCATTTCACATTTGTAAAACACCAAATGAGTCAACCCAGGTTTGAAAGTAGTGTGATGAATCAAGCACAAAATTTATTTCCCATTTTCTGTATTAAGTTTTACCCCATTTTATTGAAAGTATGAACAAATGAGATTATAATTTCAATTTGGCATGGCGGCTGTGGTGCTTGCTACTCAAATACAAAACAAACAAACAAATATTTGCACTAAATTTGGTTAACTGCAAAAAGGCCACATCATGCAATAAAGACTATTCAAGAAAGAAAACAGTAAACAAAACACATGAATTTTTTGCCCGAATGACAGAAACTTAACAGAGACAGAGAATTAAAGATATCATTACAAAATGAACAAATCTGAGCGAGGGCCACATGTAGTACCTAGGCTATATATGTAAAATCAAAGCAATTGGACTTGCAGTTTTTAACAAGAAGTCGAAAATATCACTTTTTACCAAATATGACAAAAATATTCACCAAAATTAGAGAATTGAAGATATCATCATGAAATAAACAAATCTGAGAGAGGTCTACCCAAGGTACATATACACCAAGTATCAAAACATTCAGGCTTGTAGTTTTCAAGAAGAAGTCTAAAAAGTAAAACATTGACACGGACACGGACGCCGGACTAACAATTACTCATATGATAAGCTCTGCTCGTCAAAGTCGACAGCGGAGCTAAAAAAAAGAACTGTTGGTTGTGGTTGCATCAGACCACCATGCTTATAACCAGAAAATAAAATGTCTCTGTATAATAAACTACAGCCACTTTTTGTTGATTATTGTTGGTTATTTTAGATTTTTCAATGAAAATTGGAAAGGTTTGTAAATATTTTGCTTTTCAAATGAAATGTCTAAAATGACAAGCAGGTGGCTGGCTAAAAATCTGCTGACCACAAAATTAATAGTATGCAGCTTATTTTCTGCTGACTGTTAGAACCTTTGTAAAATACATCTAAAATTATGCAAGTTTATTCATTTTAAATCAACTACCACAATCTTTGATAAAATGTAAAATGCAATGCAAATATAATTTAAATATAGCAGTTTTTAGTTTGTACATGTATTCAGAAAATTCAGGCCATGACCTCTGTCACCTCACTTCAAGGTTTTCTATTGAAAATGTCTGATTCGTCAAATTTACTAGACGATTTAAAACTCTAAAATATCAAATAAACATTATCAAATGCGCGATACATTGTGGGAAGATACTCAAATCACCACGAAAATCAGAGAAAACGTTAAAGAGTGTGATAAAATGGCGCTTGGTTGGTGTGTTTATTTTATGGCGTTCGAATTTTAAAACGACGACAGCTCCGATGACCTCCCGTTCATTAACACTGACGCAGTGTTAATAAACGGCAGTTTATTGACACCAAAAACGAAGAACTGCAGACTCCACCGCAAATATGTTGCGGCTTACAGTAACGGGGCACACACACACATTCAACGCATCGAGTCAAAGAGGTTTTAACGTCTTAAAGTGGCCGCGTGGAACAAATAATGGTATGAAAACAGTACAGGATTTTTTTACCGACCATGAAAGCGCACATAACACACCATCGATCTCGCATGCAAACACAACGACCTTGAATACGACAGACGGACAATATTCTGCTAATATATACATTAAAATTAAATTAATACATTTTCTCTTATTGTCTAGGTAATAACAGATACATTTAACGTTTTTTCATCGGTACGGAAAGTGAAAACGGTAAAAAGGGGGAGTTACTTTAATTGGGTAAAGAAGGTCACGTAACGTCAATGAGATGACCTTAAAAAACTACGTCAACACATAAACACTGAAATAAACTGCAAATTAAGCGAAATTTTGGGACATTATTACGAAATATAGAATCAAATACAATTGTAATCTTATATATGTATTGCCAATATTGGGTACTCCAGAATAATATTGTAATAAATACGTTAAAAACCGAGAGCAGACTTACAGTGTACTACGACGGAAAGTTCAACTCCCAGTCCCGCCATCGCCATTTTCCATTTCCTGCTTAACTTCGCAATTCGCGAGATCACGCGAATCACGAGATGCCAAAAGTTTTGTCATTCGAAACACCAACACGCAGGAGTCGCGAAACGGGTCTCCTCACCTGGTAATTTAAAACGAACAGAAAACAAACACACGATTGCGGTTTTGAATTTTCGGAGCTCTTACAGATATCCTTGATTGTTTCACCAGCGCCGACAAAGACCAAGCGGTAAAGCTCCGACTATCTCAACTTTGTTTAAAAAAATATACCGAGAAAAACATATATGATTGAAATAAAATCCTGTTTTTTTTTTGTTTTTTTTTTCGTTTTTCCTGTTTTATAGTATGTAATTATTTTTTATTTTTTGTATATTTCAAGCTGAATTTATTCGCTAGTATTTTTTTTACGTTTTGGTAAATCGGGGGCTTTCGATATCAAAACTGTAATAAAAATACCAGCAAAGAAACTTGAATAACAAAAATTGAAAAAGCAATAAAATAAAATATAATATAATAATAAATAATGAAAATGCCAAAATTAGGATATTATTTTAATCAGATTTGGTAGAAAATTAAAACAGCAAACCCAACAAAAAACATACATAATCATGATGTTGACAGTCAACACTTCAAAATATGGCATTGAACATTTTTATGGTTTTAATTCAGAATTATTAATTATTTCTAAAAAGTCTGTTTTCTAAATCTAATTAATAATATTAACAAACAAATTTGAATAGTAGTACAATTTCACGCAGTTTGCCAAATTCATATAGCGATCCCGTGAACATAGGCATGATAGGCATCATAACCAGCGGAGGCAAAATTATGGGATGTCATATCTTAACTTTAAAGAGCAGTGACTCAAGGGAAATCAATTTCACCTGCCACGTTCGTCCTTGCTCATGAAGTTCCGCAAACAAACAAACAAACAAACAAACAAACAAACAATGGATAAGAACAATAAGAAAGAAACTTTTGCAGACCATCTGACCCGCTTTTTGGCTAATGTGAAGCCAGTATACTAGAAGCATTATGAGACCAATTCAAAAGATAGAAAAGCAATTTAGAAGTTCTTTTCTCATTTCTGGTTTATCGGTTAAAACCACAGTAATACTACAATATGACTGAAAGACTTTGGCTTGGAAAATGGAACCATCGAATATAGTTTGAAATGAAGTAGTCAAAACGCTCTTCAACATTGTAGGAATTTACTTTTTGTGTGATGTATTGAGCGCATATTAGAAAAAATCAATATCACCAATAAAACAACTGAAGCCTCTAAACGGAGCACTAGAGGGCTCTCTTTAACCAGAAAGAAACATATTATAAAAACAACGATAGTTCCAAAATATTCCAATTAATGTTAAGATAAATGAACTCAAATACATAAATGGTATTGTTCAGATATTATTACGCTATAATACAAAGCATGAAGGTAAGCATGAATTAAAAGATACATGCTATATAACTAAAAATACATGCCCTTTTACCTCGATTAGGTACTACTGGAAACACCTGAACAGAGCAGAAGGCAGTGACTACTCGACGTAGTCACAAATGACGGTTACAGTAAGTGTAAAGGAATAATATTAAAGGGCAGTAGTCGTCGAGCCACACATGCGCGAGATATGTAAACATATAAACAAAGATGGCGACTTTGACTGTTGCGCAGCTCAACGAGTACAAACTGAGACGTTACCAAGCTTTAATTAGCTATATTTTAGGTAATTGGAAGGTATTGAAGGAGTCACCGGCGGTAATTAGTGCAAGTTGCGCCCAGGTCAAACCTCATACTCGTGATTTCCATTAGAAGAGCGCATTGGATTGTGGGAAAATCGATGTTAATCAACACATGCGCAGCGCGACGACTGCCGCCCTTTTAAGATTGGTCCCCGTTTTTGTTTATGTTTAAGTATGCAACGTCCTTTTTATTTTTAAAATTGTCGCAATACGTCATCCAGGCGTGGGTATTTTCAGTCTGGGGTTTGGCGTAAAGTTACAGTTTTCAATTGGTTTCGAAGAAACAAAACAGCACGAGTTTACACAAATACTTTAACTTTCTCATGCATACACTCTGGTTCCTAGTACCCCTCCTCGCCATAGTTCGGAGTATCATGATTCAACTGATGATTTTTCAGAGTGAACCCGATCCAGAAGTCGCGGGCGAGTTCATTTTAAATGAGCTTCTTGGGTGCTGAGCAACGGTTTACACCACGATACCACATAAACCATGCCCCATAGAACGAATATACACAGTAATTCTATTTGGCAGGCATACTCCTGATATCAGAATACTAAGATACTAAGCCCAATAGTAATTCCACAACATTTCAACTGGCGAATGCTTGAATGCCATTTTATATTGGTGCCCGTGTTCCAATGACAATAAACACTCTAAAATATATTTAACGTACCACGATTTGACCTCTGGTTTATTGGTAAGCCTATTCAACGGGTATTGCTTCTTCCAATAGAGGGCGTAGTTCATTGAAGTTCTTGAAAACAAAAGACATACCTTGTACATTTGAGAACGCAATGAGCGTTATGCAATATCAAGCGAAACATTTGTGAAAATTAGGACCACACCATCTATTGCAAATACTGGTCTACGCTAGCTCCAATCTGATTAAAATAAGATCCTGGTTGGCTTAATTATTTTTTTTTCCTTTTTTTTTCACCCAGTGGCTTTCACGAACAAAACCATTCTTGCAGCAAAATAATTGTAACGTCAAAAAATAATTAACATAAATAATAATTATAGTAATTATAAGAAAAAAGTACAAACAAAAATTAAGCCAACCAGGATCTTATTTTAATCAGAATGCGCTAGCTCCTGCTCAAATAGTCACGGCTGTACACGCTGGACAAAACATATAGTTTATAATATTGTTGTCTGAATCTGGATTTTAATACCGAATTGGGCTGTGTATCAAAACCCATAAGTATCTCTTCTATAGCAGACACACAGCCTTATTCAGGGGATAATAAACGGGAAAACATTGACAAGTATGTGTGGCGATTGTAACTATCCTCGGGGGCGGACATCCGGGCATTTTCACCGCCTGGCAACCCGCGGCGGTGAAAACAAAGGCCCAAAACTCGCAGAAAACGGTACTTTGGGATGATTGTTGAGACTCCTCTGAACAGTGCAACAAGATAAGCCCTACGTGTGTAACATATATAAATTTGGTTGTTCGAAATTACTTCAAAGTTGAGTTCGTGTTGTTTTCTCGAATTTTCACCGGCTCGACCGGCGTTCCACAGCAGCGCGCACAGAGCCCATAGAAATGCATTGTACAGTGGTGCGCGTCTTAGCAACGTGGAACGTCTGTGACGTAGCTCCGCCCCCTTGGATACATACACAGTATTAGTTTTTTTAATGGTAGATAGATGCCTGCAAAGACTTTATTACGGAAGCTTATTAGGGACATGCATGAAAATAAAAAAATAATTTAAAACTCGTGGCCACGACTTAACTATCTCGTGGCCACGACTTACTATCTCGTGGCCACGACTTACTATCTCGTGGCCACGACTTACTATCTCGTGGCCACGACTTACTATCTCGTGGCCACGACTTACTATCTCGTGGCCACGACTTACTATCTCGTGGCCACGACTTACTATCTCGTGGCCACGACTTACTATCTCGTGGCCACGACTTACTATCTCGTGGCCACGACTTTGTATCTTGTGGCCACGACTTTGTATCTTGTGGCCACGACTTTGTATCTCGTGGCCACGACTTACTATCTTGTGGCCACAACTTACTATTTCGTGGTCACGACTTTGTATCTCGTGGCCATGACTTACTATCTCGTGGCCACTATTGACTGCCATTATTGACATGGACATGGAAAGGGAACAGCTGATAGCCCGTTATTTCAACCTTGGTTTAAA